TTAAAAGAGGACGTCTTTCTTCTGTGTCACATCGGAACCCTCGCCACGGTGGCTCTGCCCGGTCCCTGTCTGACCCTCTTTGTCGCCTGCACTTTGGGGCCGTGGGCTCCTCAGGTGTCTGCCTGCGAATTAACCGCTCCGTCTGGGGATGGAGTCCCAGCGGCGGGGATGTGAGCCCAGGGCTCCGGGCATCGCCTGCCTCCCCAGACCAGCGTCCCCGCGATTTCTGGAGCAGAGTGTCGGAGGAGGAAGGGTCTCCCGGCCGCAGCCCCCAGGTCTGGGGGTGAGGAGCACAAGGAAGGGGTGCGAGGAGGGGCAGGGGCCCAGCCCTGCCTTCCTGCGCGCCTCCTCCCGAGCCTCGCCCCTGATGTGGCCGGTTCGCCGGGAGGGAGCGGGATGAGCCGCCAGGCGGGCGCAGGCTCTGAGGCTGCTCTTTCTCACCCTCACCGGCCTCCGCCTCCGGCTGCGCTTCCCCGGCTCCCTCTGCACCTCCCCGTCTCCCCAGGGTCTCTTGTCTGTCGTGAACCCTGCAGCCGGCCTGTCCTGTCAGTACTTTCTCTGGCACTAACTGGGGGTAGGGAGCTGGTCACCCTTGCTACTACCCCGTTTTAACAGGAAGAAAGGACTTAAATTCACTCATTCATTGTAAATTGGTGCAACCACTATGGAGGAGAGTATGGAGCTTCCTTAAAAGACTAAACATAGACTTACCATATGACCCAGGAACCCCACTCCTGGGCTTATACCTGGAGAAAACTGTAATTCGAAAAGACACCTGCACCCCACCGTTCATAGCCTCACTATTCACAGCAGCGAAGACATGGAAGCAGCCTAAATGTCCATCAACAGATGCCTGGATGAAGAAGCTGTGGTATATTTTTGTACAATGGGATACTACTCAGCCATAAAAAAGAATAAAATCATGCCATTTGCAGCAACATGGATGGACCTGGAGATCATCATTCTAAGTGAACTAAGTCAGACAGGGAAAGATAAATATCATATGATATCACTTCTATCTAAAATATAAAGAAATATACAAATTTTATTTACAAACCAGAAATAGACTCATGGACATAGAGAACAAACTGTGGTTGCCAAAGGGGAAAGGGGAGGAGAATAAATTAGGAGTTTGGGATTAGCAGATGCACACTACTGTATGTAAAATAGATAAACAACGGGGACCTACTGGACAGCACATGGAGCTATATTCAATTTCTTGTCATAGCCTATAATGGCAAAGCACCTGAAAAATATGTATGTATATAACTGAACTGCTTTACTGTCCATTTGAAACTAACATTGTAAATCAACTACACTTCAAAAAATAAAAACAATATTCAAGAAAAAAGAAAAAAATTCACTCATTCGGGCTCAGGGCTCTGGCCCACAGCAGCCGGTCGGCGTGTGTCTTTTGAGAACCCTGTGCACCTGCTCTGGCCTGAGACCTGGCTTGCTCAGGGCCAAGCTTTCTTTGCTCTTGAAGCCATGATTTTCAAGGCTGTCGGGGGTTGATGTGGGCAAATCTCAGGGGTGTTTTTCTTTTTATTTTGTTATTTCCTTTTTTATTTTGGGGGTGTTTTTTTCAACCCCAGGATCCTCATATGAAGGAAGTCTTTGCAGCGGTCCTGGCTGCTTCACAGCTGGCAGAGCTGTGGCTCTCGGGGCGGAGCCCGCCCCGCCACAGGCCTCTGGGTGGTGGAGAGCTAGTTCGTGTCCCTGGTCCTGACGGAAAGGGCTGGCGGGGGCTGAACAGGCGGCTTTAGCATCTGGTTGCAAACGTGACACAGTCCATTAATGCCACAGGCTGACACGCATGCAGCAGAGGGCCCTTGGCAAGTAGTAGGGCCGGAGTGCCGGCGTGCGAGTGTGTACGTGTGAGTGTGTGTGTGGTGGGCTTGGAGAAGTGGGCAGAGGCCAGGCGGGGAAGGTCCGGCGCATTTGGTTTTTATTCTGGAAACGGTGGGAAGCTAGTGCGCTGTTTTGGGTGGAGACAGGGGTGGGAGACCCGGATGGAGCTGCACTTTGAAAAGATGGCCCGGCTGCTTGCAGGACTGGCTGCGGTGGGTCAGAATTAATGGGCAGACAGAGGCTGTTGCATCAGACACTTGTCCCCCAGCCTGGAAAAAATTGCTGGTTGCTGACAGCTCTTTAAAATAATAGCATGAATGATCTGTTAAGAGTAATATGATATACAATTTAAAGTGTAGCCTTTAACTCAGTGTCTTAGTCCGTCCAGGCTACCATGCCAGGACAGCACACACATTTCCCACAGCTCTGCATGCGGGATGTCTGAGATCGAGGTGCCAGCAGGTTCAGTGTCTGGTGGGGACCCGCCTTCTGGCTCATGGACAGCCGTCTTCTGGCTGCACCCACACGTGGGGGAGGGGTGGGGAGCCCTCTGGGGTCCTATTTTAAGGGTCCTGCTCTCATCATCAGCCCTCCACCCCGTGACCTAATCACCTCCCAAAGACCCCACCTCCCAACACCATCACTTTGGGGGTTAGGATTCAACACATGAATTTTGGGGAAACACAAACATTCAGATCATAACACTCTGGGTTCACAAACTTTTTTGGGGTTTCAATGCATTCATTTACTGATTATTTTAAAATATTCTTTTTTCTGATATAACAGTAATTTATGCATACTATAAAACCCTGAAATATCGTAGTTATGTGGGTAATGTAGAAAGATGAAGTCCATCTCAAGCCCTTGCTTCCAGAAATACATTTCCTTCCA